CTGGCAAATAGGTATTCCGCAAGAATGGGTGATTCTCTCGGAGGAGCATTCCATGTGACGTATGTGGAAAATCTGCCAAGCATCGTACGCTGTGGGTTAGTCCCCGGCGGAATCGATGGCGGCAACAGGCTAGCACTGCACTTCGGAGCGTTTGCTCCATGGGATGAGATGAACGTGGCGACGAAGACGACGCTGCGGAACGTAAGGAAGGGGGATCCGATTGCGATCATCTACATTCCCAGTGCAACCCTCGCGCGGTATGGAGCTGGAGTCGCGGCAAATGGGACATTCATGGTCTTTGACGTGATCCCGTTCTATGAGGTCAAGTCCATTTGGATTGGCAAAAGCAACGGAGGGAAGTGCCTGGAGTACGCTGACATCAAGAGGGCGTACTCGAAGTGTGTGGAGAACGAGATTTGCCCTGGCTTCGTCAACTCATCCCAAGAGTCGGCTGCGATGTTCCTCCAGAACGTCACAAAGATCAGCGAGAGGATGCCGGAGACTGAGACAGGTGCCGATAATCTGCACTACATCGTTGACATGGTTAATCGTGCCTGCGAACTCTATCGAAACAACAAGATGGAGGAGTTCAACGCACAGGTCAACGAGGTCCGGGACGAAATCAGCAAAGTCGTCATCCTGAATGATGAGACATGGGAAGGACTGAGGTGCCGGATATGTCCATCATGTGCGACCGCGATCCCCACCTGCTTCTGCTTATGCCTGGAGTGCGAGGCACAACTGATCTCCATCGGAAGATACTACATTCACATCAACTCCGATGACGAGGAGGACAACCAAAACCCCAACGTCTCTGGAGATGCCAGGCGTGCACAGGAAGAAGCTAACCACGATGCGGCAGCACAGGAGGATGAAGACGAAGCGGAGGAAGTTCCGGGAGAAGATGACGACATGGACACGCAAGGATATACATCCGGCTATGCGTCAGAAGAAGAAGACAGCGGTTGGCATTACCGCGACACCGATCTGGCGTCACGGGACATTATAAGTTCCCAACGGATGGCGATCTGCCTTGACGAGCCGCGTGAGGCTCAGTACATGGCAGGATTTATCGCACTCCAGCTGTCCAAGATGTGGGGGATGTTTGAAGGTGGTGAGGAGAGAACGATGAATGCCGGACTCGAAGGGAGGCCGGGCTGCCCTTATCACAATGACTTCAAGAGGTACCCCAACATCACCGATCAGGATCAGGAAGGTATACTCTTACCATCAACAGCGAAGAAAATTTCTCAGTCGGAGAATGTTCGGACGAGATCCTTCCGATCGGTTGAGGAGCGTGAAGATTATATTCGTATGATGGTGTGCAAATGCGAGGGACTTTACACATTCTACAAGCTGTGGATTGCAGCGAGAATCCTCGATGTCACCAAGGAAGAAATGAAGCTCCTGGTCAAGGACCGAGTGCACCCGGTGGGTGATATTATTTTCAGATGTTTTGCACTGGCTTTCAACTGTAAGTATATATCATTCGTGAGGGATGGCCTGAACCTTGGCAAGAATGGTTACACGGTCAACGTGAGCGCCATCATCTCGGCCATCGACCCGAACAAGTGCGACACACCCCTGCTGGATTGGTGCCTTCGGAAAGGGCACTGGTTGCCAGAGGATCACAACAAGAAGTGTGTCCGGGCACGAGAAGCCCAGAAGAACTTGGACGAGGAGTTCCGTCGACGTACCCATAGGCTGTCCATTGGGGACAGGTATGCTTCGTGAAGATGCTGATTGCGGTACGATGTGGGTCAGTCCCCATCTGTTACTTGCGTCACATCGACACTGTTTCGGTGGAACGACTTATGTCATGATTTATATTCATGTGTCCAAGATGACTGGATGTGTACATGGTTACATATTCCGATGACTATGACGCTCTGGATATTCATGGATGGAACTATTACCTTATAGATGATATCTTTTCATTATTTATGCATTGTCCATGGTATCTGGAATGGCTATGATTTGCATTGATTACTCACCGATGTTTCTTTGCCGGAAATATGCAGACCGATCACGAGCAGGCCCCTCTGGTGGACTTTTGTGGCCAACCCATTTATGGATGACAGCTGCGCGATGCGCAAATGCGGCAGCTGGATTGTTCGTTGGTGGTCAAATGACGTGACGATTGTGTATTGTATACACCTGCATATGGAAGTGTGCTTCGATTGGTGGATGAATGTTTCACTTTTCGTACAATCGAACCCGGCATGTTTCACAGCGAATGAACGGTGTAGTGATAGCAAGTAAAAGAATGCACGACACGATTTCGTAGTTGAAGCCGTGGCCAGTGGAACGTTTTGTGGTGTTTGGACCGCATGATGAACAATGCGACCCAAATGGGGGATGTTAAAACCCTCTAGGCCCCGTGCCGAAATTGGGTAGCTGTTCTGAGGTCCTTGTTGGTGTTGCTTCCCAAGTTCCATTGATCGCCATTTGGCTCAAGACACAATTGAGGTTCAAGATCTGATGTGTGACTGCATACATACGTGATCGGCATTGAGAGCGGAAAACACTTCGCTTGCGCTGCATTTGTCAGGACCACTGTTGTAACTATCATTCCTTCTCCCTTACAACGTTTACACGGGTTCGGCTATAACGGCATCGTCCGTATACACCTTTCTACGTGGTTGGTATTACAGCTTGAGGGTTCGGTGCATAGCGTCCCACGGGACGTCACCTTGCCGTCTCTTGACAATAACTATCATCGTAGCATCCTTTGCATCGCCAGTGCTGCATAATAAGAGATGATGATGACCGTGATGATAATGATGACAAGGATGAGGACTGTGATGATAACTATCATCGTAGCATCCTCGGCATCGCCAGTGCCGGATAATGAGAGATGATGATGGCCGTGATGATAATGATGATAAGGATGAGGACTGTGATGATAACTATCATCGTAGCATCCTCGGCATCACCAGTGCCGGCTAATAAGAGATGATGATGACCGTGATGATAATGATGATGAGGATGAGGACGGCTAGTAAGAGATGATGATGATGACCATGATGATAATGATGATAAGGATGAGGACTATCATCGTAGCATCCTCTGCATTGCCAATGCTATCTAACGTTACTTTTGAAATGCATATAAGAACAAGAAAGAGATGATGATGACCATCATGATGATGAGAAGAGTGATGATGATGATCAGATGCAGCGTTGCTCATGATGATCATGATGATCCTGATGATCATCACTACGCATCTCCAGCATCACCAGCAGTTACCGTGATGATATCCTGATGACAATCATCACTATGCATCCCCTGCATGAGCAGCAGCTGTCATAACAATCATGACTAAAATGCATCACTGCATTCCAAGCCGGGTTGAACGGCAAGCTTGAAACGTAGAATGCTGATGATTTGGATGCTGCGAACCCATCACCCAACATCAGTGGTGCTGATAAACATCACGAAGACAAGGACGAATACAAGCCCTTCCCATGCGCCTCCCCTTTGGAGAAAGGGGTCGGCGGATTTTCGACCTGACGGGCTGCAAATTGAGAACCGCCGCGGTTCATCCCACGGATTTGGTTTCCTTTCGGGCTTCCCCAAAACCGGTTCATTCACACCATGGGTCACTCAACGGAGCCTTGGCTTTCCAGCTAGGTGCCGTTTCTTTTACCGTTTCTTTTTTTGGGGAGGGTTCCCCTACCAAGAGACTAACAGAAACAAGTTGGTACCCTTAGTAGGACCTAGGAGCACATGCCAGTCAAAAAAGCAATGGTTGGTGAACAATGCTTCACCACCATGCAGGTCCACAAGTGGTGCCCTTACCCGTTTTTGGGGGAGGGTTCCCCTATCTCTACTGGAGGACCTATAGCCATTGTTTACCAATTCGGATTGGCATCATCCAAATCGGGTGTTCATGGGCCAGTCTTTTCACAGGGGCAAGGAACCAAAGGTTTGTGGTTTGCTTCATGCGAGCACAACTTTCCGTGGAGAAAGGCCCAGAAAGCCCCTTGGAAGTCAACCAAAGTGCCAAGAGCCAAGCTGGCATCTTCAGAGTTTTGGAAGTACCCCCGCAATCTCATTCTTGGGAAACCCTGGCTTTCCATGGTAAATACACCTCCTTTGTTAGTAGAGGACTGACATGATACCCTGAAAAAACACAGGTATTTGGAGTAGGGGGTATGCGGAGATGTACCACCAATATAAGTGAGCTTGCAAAGCGGTACCCCAAACCCAGAGTGGTATATCACCTCCATAACTCCAAATCCATACCTGGAAATGCCAGTCTGGACATTGACCTTCCAACCTTGGTGCGTTCGTCCAGTGTTGAATATCACAGCTTTGGACGGTTCCCATAGCCATTATTGATTTTTCGACTTGGGTCATCTTTGCGGATAGCTTCCAGAACTTTTGTACAAACACAAAAACAACCGGGGAAACGGCTGCGCGAATGGAACAGGAACCGCCACGAAAAAACAGTCCAACAGGAACCGCCACGAAAAAACAGTCCAAGATCTGTTTACCAGTCTTTCCATGGTTTTCCCTCATTGGGACGCGTCTTTCTTGTTTCAGACTGAAACTGGACATTCTAAAGGAGCCTACTTATGCACAACAGTATTCTCTTGCCCCACAACCCCAGAATTCAGGTTGTTTGTCCCTCCGAGTCTCTCAACAGGAGACAATGAACACAATAAGACGCTGGAGCCTTGCAGGGATTCTTCCCAGGTGTTTGGACCTCATTCATCTACCTGCACCCTCAAAATTCCAACCTGCAACTGGGGTGAGTTGCAACCCACAATTATGGAATTGGGGCAATTTCTGGGTATCGTTTGAGGGTCCAGGCATCAACCATCTACCTGAACCCTCGAAGTTCCCATATATAGAATTGGGTTTGACCTCCCAAACAAACAGTTTGTGGTGATATCCATTAAAAAAAAAAAAAACAAAAAATATTTATGAATTTATTTTGTGAGGGTTTTTTTGTCCTTTACTGGTTTGAGGGTTTTTTTTTAATCCAAAACGAGGAGGCGGACAGGGACGAGCGCGAGCGCACGCCTCGAGTGGTGGGCTTCGTACGGGATCCCGCCGTCATGGTGGCATCTGCCTACTGCGCCTCGAACGGTCAGAACGGTCAGACAAAAGCGATGCCCAGGCTATGAGAATACCTGGACCATAGGTGTCCTTTTTGGTTGTTTTGGTAGAAAAATAGAGGGCGATTCCTGGTTTACCTGGTGGTTGAATCATCTACCAGGGCCATCTATTTCCAACCTAAAAGGACACCTATGACCTGCCTACCCCCTGCTTCAAATGCCCGGCCGTTTTTTAGTTGGTATGATGTCGACCCTCGACTAAAAAAGGGATCGGTATTTACCATGGAAACCCGGGTTGTTCAAAAAACCCTCAAAGAAGTGGGTATTTGGAGTAGGGGGCATGTGTGTTTAAATAAGTATTTTTGTTTCCCCTTGTTGGTTTTAAAGAGAATCGATTTCACTACTGTTTTTTTTGTTTGTCCAGTGGGGTTAAGCAAGTGCAACATATCATTTGATGCGGACATGGCCGTGTTTCGCAACTTGCACCCTACCACGGTGGCGTACCCATTGCGACACTTGACACTCTTTTCTTGCTGGCTTCCCCTTTAAGTGGCGTAAGTGGTGAGCTAAGAAGAGGTCGCACATTTTGGTTGGGCTGATCACTGGCGTGACATTGGCGTTTGCTCGAGTTTCTCAAAATGGGTCTGGAGAGCTCCTTGGCATTCGGAACCTTACCACGCAGCGATTCCCGGGAAAACAGCCCACGTTTCCGGCGAAATCCGGCGAAATGGTTTTGCACCCAACTTTTTCTCGGCCGGCACCAAATGAATGCCCTTGTTTCGAGAGCGCGGGTACACCCCCCGACTAGTGCTTCGGACCCACAACTATTTCATTGTATTGTATTGAACTTTATTTCCATACTAGAATATACTAGGTTATATTTGAATTAAAACCCTAGCTGCTATTACATTGCATTATAGTAGACTACCCGTTCATTCTATGGACATCCACTGGTCTGGGGTTCAGTGACCTCCTTTTGGCTTGTGATTTGGCAGCCTAACGCAACTTGGTTCTCATTGCTCAGGGGCTTACGTGAAGGAAACGCCTCAAGGCGTTTTTGTCCAGTTCGGGGGGTCATTTTAATTTGTTCCAAGACACACCACACTTGTTTCAGCGGACCCGCAAAAAACTTGGGTTCCGACCGCTTGCAGCAAAAAGCATGCCACAATGCGAAAGGCAATTACCCATGTCTTGGTGATCTTTTGTTTTTCCTGGACCCCCAAAAGGACCCCTTTTTTTCTGCCTTTGACCCAACAAAAAGAGGTACAAAGGCACAAAAAAAGGAATCGGTCCTTTGGAAGTCCTTTTGGTTCATGTTCCCAAGGTGTCCCTTGCTTGTTCCCAAGCGAAGAAAGGGCCTAAGGAAGGCAGAGCCACCCTGGATGAAGCACCCCTTTCTATTGATAGGAGGGTGTTCCCTCCAAAGGTGATGAACCCCCAGTCACCTAAGTATACCCTTATTTCAAGCTGACATTTTGAGGGTTCCGGAGGTTGTTGTACTTTTTTTAGACCTGTTGAGAGCACCCAACAGACCCCAAGGGTCGACAGATGAGTGCGACCGGAATAAACGGTTCCTGATCTGCCGATTTCAGGGTTGCCAGCGATTCGACCGATTCAGGGAGAACCTTTGCTTGGAGATTCCTTTCGCACTTCAGCGATTTTTGGAGTTCTTGCCTGGATAGCCAAGTTGCTGCTTTTTTCAGTCACTGTTGCTGGTTTTGGGGGTAAAGTGCATGGGAAAAAAAAACAGCAGCTGGCGATCCAGGTGCAGTTTTTTGGATGCACCGGCATGGGAGATTGGTCTTCTTTTTTCGCGTTTTGCAGGGTGGCCGCCCTGGCCCGAGAAAAATCGAAGCACCTCTTTAGGCAGCTGCTTCAAATAAACATCCGTGAGACTATGTCTGTCCGCAAAGTTCCGCGCAAGTTTTTTTGTTCTTCGGATTTTCTCGTTTGGTAGGAAACCAAATGGAAACCAAGCTGGTCCTTCATCGCGAGACACAGCAAGTACCAGCACCCTCTCCAACTGCTTTTTGGCCAATCCAGGGGTTTTTGATTCCCCATTCTTTTCAATCATTGTTATTTTCAATCACCTGCCGTTTTCCTTGGGTTTCTGGAGGTTTTCTGGAACGAAGGATCCCTATAATACCAAGGGGAGTCTGGACTTGGTGGAAACGTCAGTTTGGGATTTGGGTGCTGGTACGGCATGCCCCAGCCGTCGCATCGCTGAGGCTACCACAAAAGGGGTGAGGAGACGGCGCTTGGATGGCCGTGATGTACGGTTGGGCTGTTTTGTCATGGTGATTCGGTCCTTTGTGACCGAATCTCCCCTGAGACCTTTGTGGAAACAAATGCTGCCCCATCAACGAAGAGCGACCCAAATATGGAGCACCCAGATCCTCGTTTTGGTCCTCAAATCAAGCCACTTTGAAAGCTGCGGTTGGCGACATGTTGCTACAACCAGACTCTACTTGCCTTTGGTGTAGCAAATTAGATTTGGATCTCACAAATTGTGTGGATGTTTGGCTGGTTTCCTTTTGGAAGACAAATACCTGGATAGCCAAGGTGCTTCTTTGTTCAGTCCCTGTTGCTGGTTTTGGGGGGAAAGTGTATGGAAAAAAGCGATCGCAGCTGGCGATCCAGGTACTTGACCCAAATGCGGATGGCTTCCAGGGATTTGGACCCGCATATGTTGTTATCATGTTGGTTTTCTTGTGCCCCCCAAACGGGGTCTGCCAAAGCTCCAACACTCAAACCACTGTCCAAGCAAGTCTGCCAAGCTAAAAAACTTTGTGTGTTAGTTGTTGGTTTTTGGTCCTTTGGTCCTTTGGTCCTTTGGTCCTTTGGTTCTTTGATGCTCTTTTTGGTCGTTTTATATCGTTTCCGTTTGGTTGTTCTTGGCAGAGTACCTGTTGGTTCTTTGAACTCTTTTTTTTAAATATATATATATATATATATATGGTTCAAACATTTTTTTGGTTGGCTGAGTAGCCGCCACGCGCCAAGCGCCACAAATTTCGAATCAGCGCGCGGAGGAGCCCAACAACGTGGAATTCAACCCCCCCGGCATGGCGGGCTGGCTGTTGAACGCGAGCGTCCAGGAGGGCTTGCCCTATGTGGCGCTGCGCATGCTCCGGGTCACCGAGGCCCCCGTTTCGCTCTGCGCCGAGCGGCTTTTTTTGTGGTTTTTGTTCCATGCCTCTTGTGGCCATGGTTCAAAACCAATGGGATCCCATTTTGGGATAGGCACACCGCCCATTTTAGCCATGGCCTTGTGGTGCCGAGCATTTTAGAACCTCTGTTTTTTGGGTTGGATTCACTGGGGGTGGTGCCGAGCACAAAAAGTTGACGGCTCTTTAGTGGCAACCAAAGCGAAGGATTCGATGCCCCGAGGAAAATACCAAACGTGGGAGGTCCTGGTTTTGGCTCTTTGCTTCTTGTGGTGCTCCACAAAGTTGACTGGTGGCAACCACCTGGATAGCCAAGTTGCGATCGCTTTTTTTCTTGGGGGGGGTCACGGTTGCGATCGCTTCTTGGGGTAAAGTGGATGGAAAAAAAGGTCGCAACTGGCGATCCAGGCAAAGCGGATTGACCTTTAGACTGTTTGGTTTGGTGGACCTTGTAATTCCAGGTCCTTTGGGCAAAGTGTGCCAGGGTTAAAGGACTTCCTGGATCGCCAGTTGCTGTTTTTTTCCATGCACTTTACCCCCAAAACCGATCGCAACATGAAAAAGCTTTTTCGCAACTTGGTGGTTTTTTCTCATCTACCAGGGATATATATACATCTATTTCCAACCTAAAAGGACACCATAAATTTAGGGCTATGGCCCATGTTCAAGAGAATGTTGAGGGTGGTTTGTCACTTCACCCCAGAAATTTAAGGGCTCTAACCCATGTGTAAGATAATTTTGAGATACAGATAAAAGCAACAACACCGATATGGCTAGTTTGAGGCTCCAGGTACTTGGGCGGTTTTGCTTGGATTTGGGTGGCCTTTCCTTTCAGGGTTCTCCTTCACAACCATGAAAACAGGGGTACAATCGAAAAAAAAAAAATCACACCTAGTGGCGTTCTTGCCTGGGACAAATGAGAGCATATTCGTCCAGTGATCGCCTCCTACTTTCGAACCTGAACACAAACAATGCTTAAGCTAATGTAAATGGGTTCTTTAACTTGTCTTGTTTAAGGTTGGGGGGGGGCGGTTTTTATTTGGCCCATATAAGAAGGGGGTTCAGATCCCCAAGCCACCAATCCAGACGAAGGCCACTTGAGAGGTGGCAAGGATACCACTCGGGCGTCTGCCATCCCCACCAGCCCACTGGGCCCACTGGGCCGAGAGCCGAAAGCTGGTGAAACAGTTTCGAGGAGGCGAGGACCATCTCTACCATCCAGGGGTCTTTTAACCAATGTCAAAACGCCCTCAACATTCTCAGAAACATGAGTTATAGCCCCAAATTGCCGGGGTGAAATGAAAAAACACCCTCAACATTCCTTCGAACATGGGTTGTAGCCCCCAAGTTTATGGGTTGATATGACAAGAAATTTCACTTAACTCAACATTATCTTCAACATGGGTTATGGCCCCAAAGTTATGGGGTGAAATTGCAAAACAATAAAAATCACTTAAACATGGGTTAGCCGGGTGAAATGACAAAGCACCCTCGACATTCTCTTAAACCTTAGAGCCTCCGGCTCATTCCGCCGACTTCTGCGCTCGCGCCCCGAACGACACGGCGGGCTCTTGAGGCCATGGTCGAGACCTTCGAGAAGCCCCGCAACAGCACCATCGTGGTCCACTACGAGGCGGCGGGACGGACGCGAGCGAAGAACACCTAGCCATTGTTTACCAATTCGGATTGGCATCATCCAAATCGGGTGTTCTTGGGCCAGTCTTTTCACAGGGGCAAGGAACCAAAGGTTTGTGGTTTGCTTCATGCGAGCGTAACTTTCCGTGGAGAAAGGCCCAGAAAGCCCCTTGCAAGTCAACCAAAGTGGGAGGGAGTCCAGCTGGTATCAGAGGTTTGGAAGTATGCTGAGATGTACCACCAATAGTGAGCCACTTGCTCAACACGCGGGTAGAGGATCCGGTTAGTTGATCCGGGGCCATGCCAAGTCGTTGCCGGTGCTCGATTTTTTTGGCTCAACCAGGCTGGTGGCTTTTAAGGGACAGCCCTTGGTGCGGCAGGGAGACATGGAGTACCCTGAAGAAGAAAAAAGCAGCGCAGGTGATATCCCCAGCATGCGTTGAACCCTGGTGGAACCCTGGTGGAACCCTGGTGGAACCCTGGTGGAACCTTACCTCAAGGCCGCCCCGGACCACCCCGGAGCCTATCTGGGCTGAGACCCCAAAACTTTCAGCTGTTGGGGAAAAAAGCCCTTGCTATGTTTTGGAGCGCATGGTTTTTGCAGGGTAAACATTTGTTTCCTTTCTTTGTCACGGATTTTCACCTCCTTCCCTGCAACTTAATGTGAGTATTTAGTATTTTGCCTTTGACTTCTTCTTGGATGTGAAAAACCTACGTCAGGTACCCCTCCCTCCAACTTACAAAGGTGATCACTGGTTGGTAACTAGTGGGTACTTAGCGAAGAACACCATGGTTATAACCTGCTGACATAGGTTGAACATCCAAGTGGGCGGTTTCCCTTCTTGGACGATTCGCTTTCAAGCGTCGCCAGGCGTACAGCAATACTGGGCGGTTTCCCCTTACAATCCTTAGCCAACCCCCGAACATCAGATATGAGAGATCCAGGTGATCTAAACCGATTCGGGCCATGGGGCTGGGAAGGTGTGAAAACAAAGAAACACCCACACAAACTACGTGAACCTTCACAACATTTCACAATGCCCCCGCCCCCCTCCTCCCCTTCCCCCAACAAAATGTCGCCAACCGTCGTTTGGGGTGGCAATAACCAAGTTTCAAGTTGGTAGTCCTTTCGGGTCCAGCTGGTATACAAAGGGCCTGAAGGCTAACACAAAATACCCTTGCAGTGGACATTTAGACGCCACACAAGGGGAATTTGGGTGGCTCAAGCGGTGCCGTATTTAGATCGCAAGAGGTTCTTCCAGGCAGGGCAACGTTCAAAGGGGCAATTTCAAGCTCAGGCTGAGAATTGGGTTTTGGAGGTAGTATGGAGGCTATACAACGCTTCTATATAAGTACTGCGTTTCAAGCTTATATTACATGTCCTCCGCAACACTCACCTGAACCTTCCCTTGACTGTTGGGAACTGTGGCGATGTCAAAACGCAATTTCCGACAGAAGGCGGCTGCAAAATTCAAAGCTGGCACATCCATACCGAACAAAGGCTTCATTTGCGACCTCCCCTGGTTATTTCGTGAGTGGCCAGCAATGACTCAGGGTCTTAGCGAGGTGTCCGTGGGTTATGAATCTCCGCAGGCTCAATCTCACCCCAAGGACCCCGCCCAAAAGAGGGCAAAGAACTCGGGGCAAAGAGCGTGTGGTAATTAAGTATGGGGCGCGGGATCTTAGCTGCCTGGACCCTCAAAGGACCCCTTTTTTTCTGCCTTTGTACCTCTTTTTTTTGGGTCAAAGGCAGAAAAAAGGCGTCCTTTGGGGGTCCAGGTGGTTGTTCAAAAGGTAACCTAGCTATAGCCTCGATTTCTGGTTCAGCATTCAGCTGTGAGCAGACCCCCGATTTGTTTTGCGCCCGGGCAAACCTTTCTTCATTCATGGCCAAGATTTCCCGTGCGACAAATCGGGGCGGTAATTCACCCACTGTTTGACCGCCGGGCTATATCGGGTGGCCTTGGCCCGAACATCCGTTACCAAAGGAGGTCAGGGAAGCACTTGGATCCGAAGAAAGCAACCAACTGAAGAATGGGGAATTCACATTCCGCCAAATGTTGGGTTGCCATCACACAGTTTGAAGTTGAAGCTTGGAGGGTTCTGGCGGAAGCAAATGGGAGGCCCCAAAAGACAGACGAACCCAACGGTTTGTGTAGGGTTCTTTGGACCGGACACATATAGATCTAGGTTCTCCTGTTGGTGTTCTTCTAAACCAAATTCAGGCTACCGCAAAAAAAGAACGCTTTGGGGGTCGCGAGTCGAGAGTCGCGAGTCGCGAGTCGAGGAGCTCACCGGCTCTGCTGAAGGCTTTGATCGGGAGGCGTGTTTAGCTCTTGGGGAAAGCGCTTGTTAGAACCAATCGAAGCCGGAAGGACCAGACACGAGGGAAGTCACAAACATTTGTCAACCATGTTTTTTTTGTGGTTATAGCAGTTTGAGGGAGGTAACCAAGTGGAATCAGGTCGTGGGGTACTTCAAAAACCGTTGGTCATGGCTGGAAACTCTTCGGAATTGGTTTGCCCCTCGTATTGCCGGTGTTTGTTTGTTTTTGTTCCAATGGCCAACCCCTTAAATCGAGGCCCTTTCAAGGGGAGTCCAAAAACCATGCGGAAACTCAGTTCAAGTTGACGGAATCTCGGTGTCGCAAAAGCTTATGACTCTTTTGGTGTCCCTTGAAATGACTCCCAAGGTCTCAAGATGCTGGGTTGACATACATGCGACCTGGATATGCCTTACTGAGTTGTTTTTGTTTGCTTAACAGCTGGGCTCAGTTTGTTTCTTAGGTTTGGTTCCTCGGTTGGTTTGGTTTGGTTTGGTCGGTTGGTTGGTGGGCTCGCTGGTAGCATTACTTGCATTGTTAAGCATCCCCTTATACAAGATGTCGCACCTTCTTTGTTGTGGTTTCCCGGGGAAAGCCTTGCTGGCTCTCTGTGTGTTGTTTGTGAGGCTCGAGCAGTACCCTTGTTGGCGGTGGCTTAGAAAAAGAAAGAAAAGGAAAACTGGTAACCAGCATCTATGTTTGCTTCAGGTCTGACTCCCTTTTGACACCAACCATTGGGTTCATCTTTTTGTTCAGGCCTCCCATGCATGAAGCCTCATGGGGTGAGCTCCCATGTTTAAGGAGTAGAAAGAGGCTCCAGGTGGTCTTCTTTGGGTTTCCCCAGTTTTCACCTCCTTTGTGGGTAATGTTGACCCCGGATCAACAAACCCCCGTTTATGAATATGGAGGTGTTCCCCTCCAAAAGCGACAAATCCCCACTAAAACCAGGGACACCCCGAACATCGCCCACCTGGGGTTTACGAATCCGGGGTCAACATTTGGCGGAAGGTACCAGTTTCAGGTTGAGTTCAAGGGACACCCCGCCTTTTTTGGGGGAGCTTTGGGGGAGCTTTGGGTTCTTGGATTCGCCGAGTAAGTGGTGGGTCTGGGAAACACAAGAGCTAGAAGAAATCGAGGGTCCCAGACGTCCCAGACCCCCTCCCCCTTGTACTCGGTACCTGGATCGCCAGTTGCGATCGGGTTTTTTCCATGCGCAAAAAGCCCAACCAGAAACCGATCGCAACAGTGCCTGAAAAAAAAAGAGAAACACTTAGCGCAACTTGGCGATTTCTAGGTACCTGGAGTCTCCTTCTGACTGCTAGAAAAAGGGGTCATGAGCCCTTCATGTTGGGTAAGGGCCAAGCACTTAAAAGGGTGGAGACTCCAGTAGGTCCATTTCCCCGGTTTTGCAGGTAATCTGGGCGGTCGCCAGCGGTGAGTCAGGTGACGCGGATGCTGGACTGGTGGTTCGAGGGCCTCACCTCCATCGAGACGCGGCAAACGGCCCTGGAGGCCGGAGCTGTGGGGCTTAAGGTCTCAGTTGTTCAGTGGCTCCAAATCTTTTTCCCCTTTTTTTTGGTGGCTGCCCCACTTAAATGGTCTTTTGGTCTTCCCAAAAAAGGGTTCCTTTTTATCCATGGTCACTGAACAACTGAGTTGGGTTGAAATCAAGGTGTTTTCTACTCAACCCCCAAAAAGTTAAACTTTTAGCAGGGGGGTCAACAGCAACCAAGTGATGTAACCAAGTGATGTTGACCCCCTGTAATCAACCAACTAGCTTATTAATAGTGGGGGGCCGTCCAAAAGTGACCATATCAATAGGCATGTTTGTGTTGGCTGTTTTTTCACTGCTTCATGGCTGTGGTGCAAAGCTGGCAGCTTGCTTTGCTCTTCTAGGCCCCCCAGCAATTGGTGCCAACTTTTACCGTTTCTTTTTAGGGGGAGGGCTCCCCTACTAACATAGACTACAGAAAAAAGCGTACTCTTATTCTACGCTCTCTACTGGAGGACCTATCAATAAGCATGGGTTTATTAACAGTGGGGGGCCCTCCAAACAGAAACACCCCCTATCATATGCATGGGTTTATTAATAGGCTGTGGGGCTTAATGATGAAACGCCCTCCATTGAAGAAATCGAATGGATTGCATTTGGTTTTGGGCCTCGTTTTAAGGAGGGGAATGGATCCTGAGAACTTAAGCCAGGAGAGAGTAATGAATCCACCAACCAGTTTATTAATTTATCATTTAGGGCTTATTTGGGCTCTCTCCCCCCTTCCTCCCTCCCCCCCAGCCCCCATGATAATAGTGGGGGCCCCTCCAAAAGTGAACAATCCCCATCAAAACCAGGGACAGCCCATATAAATAAGCATGGGTTTATTCATAGGGGGTGTTCATTAAGGGGTCCGGGACCCCAAAGACGAGTTGCCTCTACTGGGGAAACTGGGGCTAGTTGGCTTACAAAACCATGGTTACAACCTACCCGCACCCTCAAACTACCAACTTAAACTTGGGTTGTTGCAACTCAACATTATGGTTGGTGACTTCCTTTTTTTTAAAGGGTAGTTTGAGGGTCCAGGTAGGTTATACCCATGGTTGTGTTTGCCAACCCGGTTAACCCAGTTGAAATCTTAATAAGCTGGTTAAGACCTGCAGGACCCTCCGGACTGACAAAAAAACTATTGAAATGGTTCCCAGTGCTTCCAGTTAGCGCTCTCTATAGTAGGATTTGTCCTATCCACAAGCCCACAGTACGCCTCAACGATTGAAGATTGACAGCTTTCACTCAAGAGACAGATAGCCCAACGTGGGGCCGACGATTGTCGTGCCCCAGTATTGCGACCGACTGCATTCTCGCTGTTTGTGTTGCACTGCTCGACCAACGTTCACCAAACAACAATTATGGGGGCCAGATGTTTACTAGTTGCCCTTCAAAATGACTAATCATGGTTGCTTGGTACGCCTCAACCCTTGTATCAAGCAACTTAATTCCATTGAGGAAACAACATGCAAGCGGCGAGCATCCACGTTGACACGTTCCCAAGAGCAAAACACCTGACTCTTTCACAAAAGGGTGGCAGATTAAACCGAGTGGGGCAAATCGGCGGAACGACTTGTGCTGGGCAATAGTTTTTGTTTGTGTCCCTATCCCAAAACAGGTACCGAACCTCAAACAAGCAACACGCACCATTCCGGGTAAGCTTCAACAAAAGCACATACCTGAATCAAACTACTCTTTAAAAAATGGACTACCATCACCAACCAAATGTTTGGTGCAATAACCCCTGTTTTAAGTTGAAGAAGTTGGAACTCACCCCACAACTTTGGGGCAACCCATTTCGAAGGGTAGATTGAGGTGCCGCCCGCTTTCTTTACCACGTTTGGAGCCGGCGAAAGCCCGGTCCTGTGCGCAAAGCCCCATTCCACCCCCCTCCCGCGGATCCTGGAATCCAACGAAGGCCGCCAGAGGCGCCGACCTGAATCGACATCCCGAAGATATCGACCAGCACTCCAACCCGGACAGCTGCGAGGAGGAGACCTTGCGACAGATGGATCGCCTGCTGCCTTCCGTCAGAAAAAAAGTCGGGAAGTGGCCGGGAAGTGGCCGGGAAGTGGCCGATAGGTGTCCTTTTTGGTTGTTTTGCTGGAAACATAGATGGCGATTCCGATCGGTTTACTTGGTTTCATCAACCAGGCATATCCATCTATTTCCAACCTAAAAGGACACCTATGGTCGGGAGGTTTCGGGAAGGGGCGCGGGTCCAGTCCCGTTTCTGTCTCATTCCGGTTGATATTTATCAATTCGGCTTTGAGAAACAAAGGCAACGGCAAATGGGGGGGGGGTCGGTGAAAAAAGGCAACGACTTCTTGACCAACGAAGGCAAGAGAGTCTCCGATTTCTTGGAGGAATCCGACCGTGACCAAAATCAAAATGGCGCACCGGTTTTCCTTTTTGTTTCCCTTTATAACCACCACACAAGGGGTAACTCCAAAAAAGCAGATGCCGCCCCCCACATAGCAAGCCCAATCCCTGTTTGTTTTTTGCATGATTTCCCCAGCCAGCAGGGGAGGATGGCTGGACCCTGATACTACCTGGACCCTCAAAGTTCCCAACAAAAAAGCGCGATTTTGCCCGAGATTGTGGGGTGAATTCCCGTTTTTATGTTTAGTTTGAGGGTCCAGGTACCAATTGTATGGGGCAACAGCACCTGTTCAAGGATAGTTTGAGGGTCTAGGTGGGTATGTTTAAGAAAACATCTAGGGCCCTACTTGAGACCTGGCAATTTCTCGGGGTCTCCCTGGATGATTATTTTTTCGATTGGCATGTGGGGCAGAATATGGATCCAAAAGTCGTTTTGGTGGACTTCGCCAAATCCTAAACCTTGGAAAGCTGCAAGTGTGTCAGGTTTCTCCCCCTTTGATCCACGCTTCAGTCGGTCAGAGCTTTGGATCTCACGTGTCCAAGTGCGCTGCCAAGAGTGCAGCGTTCACCTCAGACTTACAGAGCTCCAGTTGTTTTGAAGGGGGTGTCTGGTTTAGTTGTGGCGTTTGCACTTTAGCAGGGGATCAGCAAACGGACAGCTCAGCCAAAGAAGAAACTCAGATGCTTTTGTTTTAACAACAACAATCATAATAATGATAAGAATAATAATAATAATAATAATAATAATAATAATGTATTATTACTGTGTTTTTTCCATCGCTGGGCTTCTAGAGATCATTCCGAAGTCTTCCCCGGGGTCTCTGTTGTTCTTGCATTGGTTCATTTTCTCCGTTGCCCAAAGCTGACCTTTCACCTGGTTTCCTATGGTGGTTCTTATGAAGTCAAGGTCCAAAAAAGGCAACGCTTTTATTTCTATATGTCCCAACAAGGGTCAGTGAGGTTGCCGTTGGGGATCCTGTGGATGGACGAAATTCATTACGCACCACTCGGGGTAACCGTTCGGTGGTAAGACCACCCGCGGTACCACAGGGGCTGGCTGAGTCTAAAGATGTTTAAGGTTTTCATTGGAGAACATTGACACTCGATGCTGCGATTCGAGGGCGAGCACGTTTGGGCTGAAAAGATTTGGGGGTAGGGTGCTGGGGGAGGGTAGGTTAACCAGTCTGAAATATTCGAACAATCGGATCTGTACAACATCTTTTGCTCTATTTGGAACCCTGGAATCTTTAGTTAAGATGTTTGGCTTGAGGCGTCTTTTTTTTGTAAACAAAAAAATGAAAAAACGGAGGATACGTCGCTTTCCTTAACAACCACCTCTTTTTTTCTCTAACCGAAAACCCCAAAAACACACGGGGCTGCTCGCAGAATCTTCCGTCCGATCCGAGGCCTGCAGACCTGCTGGAGACCTACAGGCCCATTTCGGTTCGGCGCTCCGGGCGCTCCATGGAAGCGAAGGTGAAGTTTTTAAGGAGCGGAGAATGGGAGAAAAGCCCGGCCGAAGCGAGGTATCTTTGCGTGGTTTTTCTTTTTAGCAGGGCTCCGTGGAAGAGATACAGAGTTTGGCCCAACCGGTTGAGACATGGCTGGCTTTTTCAACACCGAGATGGAGTTGGACGCCATTTACAAGTTGCAATGTTCGATCGGTGTATGCCGCCGGATCCCTGTGGTAGCCTGGTTTGGGGGCCGAAGATTGAACCGAGTGAAATGTTGGCAACAAAAATCTGGGGACAGTGCGGAGATGTCTGTTTGGCCGGAGAGGAAGTTAGAGGCAAAGCAATGGACACTCCATTGGAGGGGTCTGGAGTCTCGATTGGAAGGGTGCGGACCTTAAAACGGCCATTGTTGAGAAGTCTTTGCATGTTCGATTCGCCATGTTAAGTGGCCAACGCCACCTGGCTTGCAACCCACTGACTGGGTTAGCCCCACGCAAGGCTGAAACAAGTGAGTTCTAACCTAGGTTACGCACAACTTACTAACTCAGCCGAACACGAATTCTTGAAGGTTTGATTCCCCATTCTCTTCACCCATCGTTCTCTTTGGAAGCCGCCCATTTTCCAGGGTTTTGGCTCTTGAAGAGAATGATGCCCGAAGAGAATGTGGAGGGCACAGCCAGCCGGAAGTTCTGAGTTTCAGGCTTTGGCACCTGCAGAAATTCCGAAGCCTCAGCCTAAGCCTCGTTTTGCCCGATACAGACAGACACGATCCAGGCCCGAACCCCCCCCCCCCCCGGGCTTAAAGAATACCTATGTGGGTGTGGCTCAAAGTGAAAGAACTACCTGGACTGCCAGTGGTGTTTTCGTTCTTTTTCCCATGCACTTTACCCCCAAACCAGAAAAAGTGACTGAAAATGGCAGCAACTTGGCCATCTAGGTAGGGTTGCGCAGGTTTTGTCTTCGGTTCCATGTACCAAGGTGCCATGTTGGTGACATGTTTTTGGAGCCACAGCCATGTAACTTCTTTTGGGGGGCTTCTCAGCAACTGAAACCTAAGCACCCTGCCTTTTGAGGCGTCAAAAGCCTCTTTGGGGCCCTTGAAATTATGGCGAGATCCTGGGAGGGGGGGATTATGTGTTTTCGTTCCGGGGGCGTAAAGCAAAGAGAAGAGAAGCCCATTAAGGCTTCCTGTATCGGTGACCTTAGGCTCCTAATGGAACCGACTTTTAGCCAACACCGCTGTACGGTTCTAGCCAACTAACGACTGGGTGAACCCAACCTAACTTCCAATTAATGTTGACCCCCGGGTTATTTATTCATATGTTCCCCTCCAAAAGTGATAAATCCCCACTAAAACCGGAGACACCCCATATTAATAAACAGGGGTTGATTCTTCCGGGGTCAACATTAACTTACTAACCTGGCCCAACACCCAAGTTAAAAAAATCTCTATACCAACAGCGGCGCACTCACAAAGGTTTTGATATCAAGCGACGAGCCCTGCTTCTCACTTATTGGGGCGCCCACGTGAGTCTCTGACAATATTCTGTTGGTAGATTGATGGGAGTGTCCGCCCGTCTTCAGAACTAGGTCCCCCAGTAGTGCCCTTTTACCTTTTTTTGGGGGGAGGATTCCCCTACTATAGACTACAGAAAAAAAATCGGGAACCCTTATTCCAACCTCTCTGCTGGAGGACCTAGACAAGGCTAGACTCCTTTTGGTATTGGAATTCGGCTCACCTTGGACACAGGGCTCCTGAAAAGAATTCTGCAACCATTTGAAACATGTTGCTTTTTCAACACCAAAATGAAAGGAAACCACCATTTACAAGTTGCAATGTTCAGGTGTATAATGCATCCGGATCCCTGTTGGAATTCGAATTCCTGAGCGTTCGCAAGGCTTCTTCGTTATAGTGAGGTTGGAGTGGTACCCACTAAGCGGGCGTGTCGTACGTTTCGAAGCCCCCCCATTCAAGAGCGATATCCAAAGCGCAATTTGAGGGTCCAGGTGCGCAATTTCTGAGATGGGTTTTACATGGACACCAACAGCAAACCTACAAGAAATGGGGCCAGGAGCCCGATTTATCATGGAAACACCTGAAATTCTAGAGGCTTCCTGTCAGGAAGCTGGTTTGTAAATATATTTTGTTTGGGGGGGGGGAGGCCCTTGTGGACGGTACAGGATGGCTCAACCTTTCCGGGACCCATGGCTTCTGAAAATTTTTGGGTGGCGACTCCTATGAGCAGAGTCTCGGTGCTCACGAAGAATCGACCAGACTCCAAGTTCTTGTGCCTACAACCTTTTGCCCTTGCAGGCTTTCTTGGGTTTCCTTCATTGTCCCTTCAACCAGGTCACCTTTCGATTGCGGTCGGAGTCTGGCCCAGATGTGATTTGACAGGGCTCCTTAAAAGATACATGTTGCCACCATTTGAAACATGTTGCTTTTTCAACACCAACATGAAAGGAAACCACCATTTACAAGTTGCAATGTTCAGGTGTATAATGCATCCGGATCCCTGTTTGACCCATCGGCGAGCTCCTGGATTGCCAGGGATTTCCAGAAGCGCATGGGCTATCCTGCGACCATCTGAGGGGTCCGCGAGAATCCGAATTTTCGCTCCGCGAGGTCCCCCAGTAGTTGGCCCTTTTGCCCTTTTTTGGGAGAGGGTTCTCCTATACTAAAATAGACTACATTAGACTACAGAAAAACGGGTACCCTTAGCTGGAGGACCTAGTTGGAGTGTCAGGCCCAGATAGGGCCACGTGAGGAAAAGAGCGCGGGCGCAAGCGCAGCTGACTTGCTGCGAGATCCCCAACCATTTTGGGGGCTATAACCCATTTTTAAGAGGCATCTTGGGGCTCCAGGTATATGGGAGTTCCTGGATCGCCAGTGGCGTTTTCGCTTTTTTTTCCACGCACTTTACCCCCAAAAAACAGGAACAGTGACAGAAAAATGCGGCCGCTTGGCAATCTAGGTTGTTCTGGTGTTGAGGTACCCCGCAAAGATTCGCCATGGAGTTGGGAAGGTCACTTACTTTTTTGTTGTTTCTGTTTTTCCGAGAGCGTGCTGAGGAACTGTTGTCATGTAACCCCCCCCCCCCCGCACAATGCCTACTTGTCCAGGGCACGATGTCAACTCCCTGGTTCTGCATACCAAGCCCCTTCACCCTTAGGGTGCTGCCTTTGCACTGAACAACTGCGACTTTCTGACTCTAGAATCCGCGAGTTCGAAAACGAAAAACCGTTTCGAGACAAAGACATTTAGAGTGTGTAGAAATATATACATATATATATATGTGTGTAAATAACCCTTCTTACCGCAAGCTGAGGGTGTGGCTGTTTTTTTCAGGTTGGAACTAGGGCACCCAAGCTACCCTTGAACATGGGTTATTGCCCCAAATCTATACCCCTTCCCTTTTCAGGGTAGTTCTTTGGGCTCGGCCCAGTCAAGCGAGCGAGTCGCCGAGTCGCCGAGGGACAGCAAGTGGAAGGACTGGGAGAACTGGGACTGGCACGACAGCTCCTGGCAGGACGGATCTGCGGATCTGGACATGTCGGTTCCGGGTTTTGAAAAAAACCAAACCAACCCCGAGCCAAACCAAACCAAACCAAACCCCCATTGCTGGTTTCCGGTGCTTTTTCATTGAGCCAAACCAAACCCCCCCAGACCTCTGGATCTCCAGGCCCGGGCGAGCGAAAATCGCGCGTTTTGTGATTGAGGCCATCTGGCTGCGGACTTGACACAAAAGGAAGATCGATGGAATCGATCGAGACCTGAGACTGGTACTGGCTGACTTGCGGGGTGCCAACCTAAGAAGGGATGGGACGAGTTTTTTCGCCATGTTCCATGCTTTGGTGTGGCAGGTCACCCGATTTTTGAGGGTCCAGGCTATGAGGTTGACTGATTTGTTGGGTTGGCATTTTGAGGGTCCAGGCTATGAGGTTGACTTCCCAGGATCTCTGATTGGATTGATCTAGGCCCCAGCCGAGTTTTGAGACCCCCTTGGCGGGGTGTCCAACGGAGGAGCCCCAGGAGCCCCTGGACCTTCGAATTATCCGTAAAACATGGGTCATTGCCACACAATTGTGGTGGGGAATCCCTTGTTAAGGGTAGTTTGAGGGTGCTGGATCGCATAAAATCAATTCCCGTATGAATTACAAAGTATCAAACAATAGGACGCGGTCGGACGTTGAGTCACAGAACCCGGGTAATGGGAACCCCAGAAGAATTAACCCCCAGTGGGGCTCAGGCCACTTTTGGAGGAAGACCCACCCCCTATGAATCGGACGGGCTTCAAAACAATCTGGGGCCGCAAGCATGTTTCTCTGGATTCCATGCTTCCACTTTTTTGGGGAAGGGGTTCCCTTTAGTCAATGGCCGTTGGGCTTGTAGGGATGGCCTGAGACTTTACACGGTGGGTAGACCCCTTTTAGTACCGGCTGTCGATTGCGACGGAGTTTTGACCCTGGAACAGCGGCGACCAGGCGAAACCATTTTATTCCGTGGATTCCCTGCTGGAAAGTGCTGAAAGAGTTTTGAGCAAAGTTTGACTGTTCGGAAATACAGTACGGGCATCTAAAATGTTGCCTAGAATCTCGCGAGTCCTAAAGATAGATAAACTGACAACCAGCTCTCTCTCGCTCTATGTGCTGAGAAGGCTTTGAACGAATGTCCGAGCTTGTTTCTCCAGGGAGGGGCAACAGGTATAGGCGCGCAGTGTTTACAACCCCAATCTGTTTCTTGGATGCATCTAAACCCAATCATATGTGCACTAGGGCCCCCAGCTAGGTGCCCTGTTACCCAATGTTGGGGGAGGGTTCCCCCACTACAGTAGACTACAGAAAAAACAAGTTGGTGCCCTTATTTTAACCTCTCTACTAGAGGACCTATGATATACACATGCTATCCCCCCCCCCCCAGCCTCCATTTGCGGCCCTTTTCCACAGCCATAAAGCTTTGCGGTTTGCCTGGGCCAGGACAAGCAAAACTGGCGGGAGCACGACTGGCGATGGGATGATTCCCGCAAGGAGCCAGAAAGGTGAAAGTGTGTGAGACACTGTGAGGGATGGGGTTGGATTGGGATGGGGGGGTTTCGGGAAGAGGTTTAAGGGCAGGTTTGGGGGGGAAGGGGACAGGATGGTGGGGCTTTTTGGCTGCCCCTTGGGTTGGGGTGGGTGGGAAAGGGACGGTGGACATCGCCTGACATGGCCTGAGGCTCCGGCGTGAGAAGTTTGTTCATAAGAATTGGTGCGCCTGGACCCGAAAAAACTGCCCATAAAAAGGGAAGTAACCCCAGTTTGGGCGGTAAAAGGGGATTTGCCTCATTTTTTTGTTTAGGGGGGGAGGGCAATAATAAATGTTTAAGGGTAGTTTGAGGGTCCCCGGCAGTTTTTTTTTCAGACTTTTGAGGGGGGTGACGGGATTGGATGGGGATCGGTTTTTCTCCGGGCGGTCATGACAAGGCAAGCCACATGAAAGAAGCTTTTTGAAGGGGGCAGGCTACGTGAGAGAAGTGTCTTGGATGTTCGATTCGCCAAGTTAGTTCATAGTTGGCCACCTGGGTAACACACCAATGACCGGGCGAGCCCCACTTAAGGAGGCGTATGCGTGTGTTAGAACCCAGGCTAGGTCCCCCAGTAGTCCCACCCTTTTACTCTTTTTTGGGGAGGGTTCCCCTACTAAAATAGACGACAGCAAAAAGTTGGTACTATTCTAACCTCTCTACTGGAGGACCTAGCAGGTTACCAACAACTCAACTAGCTTCGGCGAACGACGTCCGCGAGGTAAGAGGCCACCAGGCTCACCACTTACCTGACGTATTTCATGCGCCCTTGAGACGTTCTGTTGCTCAGGAGGAGAGACGAGGAAAGGGCAGCAAGAGCAAGGCAAGAGTCACAGCTCGGGTTCATTTCTGGCGGTTCCATAGATGGTCACCTTGGGCATTTTGCCCCCTACTCCAAATATCATGGCAAGGCATGTCCTCAGGGAGCCGACATTCTAAAACAATCATGCCAGGGGGAACCAACAAGTTGGGAGTCTTCACCATGCGAGGTTTGGTCGAAACATATTCAGTAGTCTATGATTCATTGAGGGGCGAGAAGGGCGACTCTCACAAAACCAGGGTGGTCTTTAACCTTCCCATGTCCAGTAACATAACTCAAATACTCGACACAACGGGCAACCAACCATAGCAAAGTTTCCATGACTCTCCTAGCTTCAACCACAAAACCAGGGTACTTTCCTTGCTGTCCCATGTCCAGCAAGGCAAAAATGGTAGAATTGGGGAGGACCCAGCTCCTAAAGTAGCACATGTTGAACATCTACTCGGGTTCCCTCCAAGAAGAAACTGATCTTCCAGGTATCCTCCCACAGGCGCCATGTTAGTGGGAGTAAGGCTCTTCTTTTTTCTCCCTCTCCCTATACTCTATTCCTTTTTCTCCTCTCAAACTGGACCCAGTGGCTGTGGCTCAAAATTATGCACCAACATCTTGGCAAATGGAGCCAACAAAGACCTGCGTAACCCTACCTACATGGCCAAGTTGCTGCCCCTTTTCAGTCACTGTTGCTGGTTTGGCAGTAAAGTGCATGGGAAAAAGCGAAACCGCCACCGGCGAACCAGGCACTTGTCTCGTTAATTTTGAGCCGTCAAGAGACCCCTAAGCCTCTGTGCTGTGTGGTTCAAGGCCCGGAGCCTCGCGGAAGCTTAGTTTCAGACCCCAGAGCTGGACCCAGCCGCTCACTCACTTCCTGACTGTTGGGGTCTGGACCATTTTAGTAGATATAACCCAGTACAGAAACAAATAGATGAATGCATGAATGCATGAATGTATGAATAGACAAAAGTAATCAAGTCAATATATATATATATGTATATGGCCATGGGTCAAAATCCCGCACCCCCAGTGAACAGTGAATTCACCTACCCCAAAATGGGATCCCATGGGTTTTGACCCACGGCCATGTATGACTGAATGAATACATCTTAAATGAAATGAATGCATGAATGCATGCATTCATGAATGCATGAATGCATGAATGCATGGATGCATGAATGCATGAATGCATGAATGCATGAATGCATGAATGAATGAATGAATGAATGCATGAATGAATGACTGAATGACTGAATGAATTAATGAATGAATGAATGGAATGGAATGGAATGGAATGGAATGGAATGGAATGGAATGGAATGGAATGGAATGGAATGAATGAATGAATGAATGAATGAATGATGAAATGAAATGAAATGAACTGAAATGAGATGAATGAAATGAAATGAAATGAGATGAGATGAAATGACCTGAAATGAAATGAAATGAAATGACTGAATGAACTGAAATGAAATGAGATGAGATAAGATGAACTGAAATGAAATGAAACGAGATGAGATGAAATAAAATGAACTGAAAAGGAGATGAGATAAGATAAAATGAACTGAATTGAAATGACATGAAATGAATGAAATGAATGACTGAATGAATGAATGAATGAATGCATGAATGAATGAATGAATGAATGAATGAATGAATGAATGAATGAATGCATGAAAAGATCAATCTAAATAAATCATATGTATATGGGTGTGAATTTTAGTAAGGGGCCCTCTGGTGGACATCATTTAGTTGGGGATTTATGTCCACCAACCAGTT